GCTTCAGGACCTTTTGTCGAGTAGAACGGTTCTACTCTTCGTACATAGTCTTCAGATTATCCAATATGTCCTTGGCGAGTTCGATCTGATCGAACTGCCTCTGTATCGGATTATCCAAAGAGGCTATTATATAGTAGCGGGCTAAGAAGTTTTTCTCCTCCCATTCTTGGTATTCCCTCCTGCGGGCTTCTAAAGCCCTATCTCCCGGTCGATCCGATGCAGGATTCTTTGCCACTTTATCTAATTTTTTTGAAGTCAGGACCAACATAAGGTTTCTGTACCAATCGGCTTAGTTTGGGCCGTTAAGCTTGTTGTCGTCAAGCAACTTAGCAAATTGTCCATTTGCCATTTTCTAATAAAACAGCAAAACGTTATTCCACAACCTTAGTTTGATTCATGTTACCTACATAGATAAGGCTTTTAATCTATGCTCCATTTCCATTTGTTCATCTCTGAGATTTCCCTCCTATCTCAGTGACGGAGATGGCGAAATGTCTCTGGAAATGTAGGAAATCACATAGGGTGCGTGGGGCCAACTGTTTCAGCTGCATAACCCCACCACCTTTCTGTGACGAATCATATCCACTCATCATATGAGTTTCCCTTTGGCCTCTGTCAGACAAGGTTCAGAGCCGTTTTCAGGTAAACCTTTCTGTCTAGTGAGTGCTCATCCATCATATTCAGGTTACGCCAAGGTACCGTAAGAGAGTTCCCATTTTCTAGTGAAGCCCCTCCCACATCGGTCTATGATCTTATGAAACACTTTGACAGACCCAACAGCAAATGGATAGCTTAATTTTATGGTGTGTTTCCTCATTACTGAAGGACCCATCATCGTGCTAATGATGGAAGGCCTTTAGAGAGTCTATCATATGGATCTCCCTATCACCTGCACTCATATTTGCTGGAGGGAACAAAATTACGCCCTTGTTAATTTAGGTCAAACCAAAGTGGCTCCCACTGACTTTCATAAAGTCAGATTTATGGTGACCCAAATCGGCTAGGGTTTTTGCACGCGTCCCTTTTCAGGGTTGTGGGGCCCACCATGAAAGGAAGGGGTCATCCAATGACCTTAGGGAAACACCATGGCAATGATGTGCATTCAGCCATGGTGTGCCCAAGAGCCACTTAACGAATCATCATGGGCCAAGTGCTTATGGCCCATGGTCACAGCACATCAAACATCTGAAAGAATGGTAGGATCCATTGTATGGACGCCAACAAGGTTGCGGAATAGGTGGGTGAATTTCAAAAATTTCCTACCTTTCTTCCAGCTGGGAATCGTATTCCCTGAATTTAGAATCAAAATTCAAGGATCTTACTTGAATCAAACCAAACCAGATCTTTACCAAAGATCCGGGGAAGGGTTATACCTGATATGGAGAATCAAAATCTCCCAATGTCGGTGTTCACTTCCAAAGAAAGATCCAAGATCTGCTCCCGCTGAAGATGACACAGCGATGGTGGGGCAGAACCAACAGTGTACGTCTCACGTACTGAACTCTTCACAAGAACTCGTTGGAGGCTTAGAGCACCGAACCAAATCTGCCTTTCAGAAAAGACTGATATCAAGAACAGATTTCTTGATTCTCCCTTCAATGGAGTTCGAACTATGCAGCAAGGTGGCGGTGGCTGGAGGAGATCCCTAAGGCTGAAAGTGGCGTGAATACAGTTTTCAGCTTAGGGGAGATGAGATCCTATCTCAGATTGCAGAGAGAGTTGACTGCAAAACCCTAGGTCGAATTCTTGTAATTCTCTGTTAGGGTTTCCTCCTTTCTTGGTGATTGAAGAAAACTGAAGAAAATAGACCTTGAGAGTTCCGCAATGAGGGTTTTGAGAGTGAGAGTTTCAAACATTACTCCCTCTCAGCACCCTTACACTATTTTATTAAGATAAATTTGAATAATTACAAGGAGGCCCTTAGTTGGGCAAGAAATTACAAAGAACATAACATAGAAAGGATGGGCCCGAAATAAGGCCCATTACAGAAAAGAACATAAACAGTAAGAAAGAATAAACAGCCTATGGGCCATTCGGCCCATCTTCTCTACACTCCCCCTCAAGCTGAGCATAGATGTCAATCATGCCAAGCTTGCTAGTATCATGCTGAAGTTTTGCCTTGGGAATGCCTTTGGTGAGAAAATCTGCCAATTGTCCTTCAGATGAGATGAAAGGAAAACATACTTCACCCGAAGAGACCCTTTCTCTAATGAAGTGTCGATCAACTTCAATATGCTTAATTCTATCATGTTGCACTGGATTGTGAGCAATGTTGATGGAAGCCTGATTATCACAGTACAACATCATTGGCTTGTCATGTTCAACCCCAAGTTCCTTCATCAATGATTTTAGCCATAATAATTCAAGAACTTCATGTGCCATGGCCTTGTATTCTGCTTCAGCTGAAGACCGAGCAACAACCGATTGTTTCTTGYTTCTCCAAGAAACAACATTACCAGCCACCAAGTTGCAATACCCAGAAGTAGATCTTCTGTCATTAATGTTTCCGGCCTAGTCAGCATCGGTGTAGGATTCAAGTTTCATATGACCATGCTTGGCAAACAGAATTCCCTTTCCTGGGGAGCCCTTCAAATAACATAGGATTCGCTCTACTGCTGCCATATGAGTGTCTCAGGGAGCATGCATGAATTGGCTAATGCAACTGACTGTATATGCAATATCTGGCCGAGTCATGCATAGGTACATGAGTTTCCCAAGAAGTCTCTAGAAGATTCCTTTGTCTTCTAACAATGTCCCATCTGAGGCAGAGAGTTTATGACTCATATCAATAGGAGTAGCAATTGGTCTAGCACCCATCTTTCCAGTTTCAGAGAGCAAGTCAAGARCATACTTCCTTTGGGAGATAAGAATCCCATCCTTGGATCGAGCAACTTCTATGCCGAGGAAGTATTTCAGTTTGCCCAAATCTTTAATCTCAAACTCTGTATGGAAGAAAGATTTTAGATCATGAATTCCTGAAACATCATTACCAGTCACTACAATATCATCTACATATACAATGAGGTATACTGCCAGATGTTCACTCATTTTCACAAAAAGAGTATGATCAGACTATGTCTGCACATAATCAAAGTTAATGAGTGTTGTTCTAAATCTCTCAAACCATGCTCTAGGGGACTGTTTTAGTCCATAAAGGGATTTCTTCAGCCTGYATACCTTTCCTTTCATATYRGTTCCATACATCCCTGGAGGAAGAGACATATAAACCTCCTCATGTAATTCACCATTCAGAAATGCATTCTTCACATCCAATTGATAAAGGGGCCAGTCAAAGTGAGCAGCTAAAGATAGAAGAACCCTCACA